CTATCCATCAACTTCTCCATTGCACCGTTTGTTTGCATTCTTCCTATTGTGAGATAGGTTTGTCTCACTCTCTCTCCTTTTTCTCTTCCCTCTTCGTTCTTCCTTCGTTATTGTTAAATACTTATCTTCAACAATTTTTTTTTTTGCCTTTTTTCCTTCAACATTTTCAGTTTTTCATTATTTTTTTCATCCTCCCTTTTTCATTGTTGAAGTTTTTGGGTCTTGTGAGTTCCATTTTCTTCCTCCATGGGTTCTAAATTCTATTTTTATTTACTAGATTTTCTTTGATTTTTGAAATATATGTTAGATGGGTAGATATAAATTTGAAGTTTTTAAATTTCTAGTTATAATTGTTGATATTATTAGAAATTTGATATTGTTGTTGAAATTTATATAATTTTTATTTTGTTGTTGAAAAGGTGATATTACTGAATTTATATTAGAATTTTAAAATTGCTCAAGATTTTAGTTGATTTTGGGTTAAACTTGATTATTGTTGAAATTTTGGAACGTCCTACTTTAAGCGAAAATGTTGCCAATTTTTTTTTAAATTTTATAAATTGATAAACAAATATGATTGAACTAATAATATATATATTATAATCATAATTATTAAATTTTTGTGTTTAGAAATTAATATGTTTTTTCTTTTAAATTTTTACATGTTTAGAAAATGCTTAGGATTATATTACTTAAATTTTTAATGCTTGAGAGTTTGATTTGAAATTGCTTAAAATTATATTACTTGAATTTAATTGTTATTAAAATTTTGAGAGGTCTTATTTTAACAAAAAATTCTACCAAATTTTATTTAATATTTATAAAATTTATATTTTTCTAGTTAGACAATAAATTATAGTTGAATGAATTATAGAAGAACATGTAAAAAATATAAGAACGGGGTAAAATATTTTTTTAAATTTATTAAAAGGAGTGTTTCTAATAAAAATGAATTATTTTTTGTCCATGGTGAAATATTTAAATGAGAGTCGACTGAATTTTGATGAAATAAAAAACCGCTTTCTTTGTAATAGAATAAATTTGAGGTATAAAAAAAATAATGAATATGGCATGGTAAAATCAAAAAAATTAAATTCTTCACCCCAAGAGAAAAAATTAGGTAAAAATATTTGGGATGATAATCGTTATGAAAAGTCAACTTTTTACATTAATTATTACAATTAAGTGAAAAGTACATTTTTCATATCGGTTACTAAAATAATTGATATGTAAATGTTTTTAATCGGCATAGAAAGTCAACTTTCTATTTTCTTCTTTTTTATTTTTTCTTAATAACTAACGTAAAAAATTTAAAATAATTATCTGCATTAATGATTCTAGATAGTCTTAGATTGAGTTAGATTAGATATTGATAGTTATGTCAATCTAAGAGGATATGCAACATTTGATGGTTTTGTTCATGACCATAATGATAATTGGATTAAGGGTTTCAAAGAATGAAAAAAAAAAGATTTCTTCTTATTAGATTTTCGTACAAAATTCATGGGTTTTTTTTTTTTTGAAGATCTAAGAATATGTCAGAATCAAGGATGTATTTAAAATTTACGATCAACAACATCTTCAATGATTCTATAGAAGCCCTTGAGCTAATTAGAATGAATTTCTATAATTTATCCTCTCATAGATACTATTAAAGATATTAACAAATTTATCACCAAGTTAAATTTTTTTTTTTAATACAAGGTCACAGAAAATTGTGTGAGTTGAAACGATTAGATCAAGTTTAAACTTATAAGGAATTGATGACACCCTGAGGGTGGATCATCCAAAAAAATAAGGTATCTGTATTATCGCTCATAACATGTCGATCAAGATCAAATTGTTGCAATGGAGCATACTTTCATAGAAACTGACAAATGCATTGCTTCGTGGGCTCAATAAACGCATGCAATAGACCAAACAAAAAATCAAATTCACAACATGTGCACCACCTTTACCTTTTATTTATCTGGGAAAAAAATGGAATAGGGAAATTAAGAGAATAAATTTATAAAGATAGTAATTTTTTTATCATTTCTAAAAGTTTCTCCTCCTGATTTCTTGTTATCTCTATTTTTTTTCACCTGAGTTTATTGATCTTTTAAATGCTGATTAAGCGAATCCTTTTTCTCATATATGTTATTCTGCTGTAGCCTTATGTTAACGGGGGAAAAAATATCAAAATGGCTAAGCGACAAAGTTTAATAAAAGGTGACATTGTATGATCTAGAACCATCAATATTTTCTATAAAGAATCATTAATTTTAAAGTTACGTTGAAGGACCAAAATATAACTGATAGACCATTATGTCCTTGTGCAAGAGATTCTTTGGTTAAATGATTAAATTATGGCCATCTGAATTTTGTTTTCATTTTTCTTTCGCCCTTTTCAGACTTGGGGTGCGTCATTTGGCACTCAACAATTTCGATAACGCGTCTTTCGTAATTAAAGAGCTTCTTATTGAAATGAATATTCTTCATTTCACAGATCGAGTTAATTAAAAATAAATTCTCGTGCATGAAATACTCTCTCTAATTCTAGTTATGAATTACTTAAAACATATTTTATTAGAATAAAAAAAACTTAAACTTCATTAACTTTATTTTAAAATTTAATAAGTTTCTACCTTTATCCCTAATAAATATTCTTAAATTTTATTACTATTATTTTTATTCAAATAATTTAATAAGAATAAAAATGTAAAAAGGAGCATTGAAAATTGATAAGTATTTTATAAATAGGATTAAAATTTTTTTCTTCTCTCTTTACCTTATAAATAAGACCAGAGGAGTATATATGAGGTGCAAGAACTTCAATTAATATCCATTTGGTAGTAAACTATCTAAGAAAGCTAAAATGTAGCGTGGGATAACACAGAATAATTCATTAAGGGTGTTCATAGGAAAGGATAGAACCATGACACCCTTATTCTGTGTCTTATCTCAAATAATTATTGAGGTTGAATTTTTATCTAGTGTTCCGTCTCATTAGGAATTGAGACAGAACCATGACAAAATCAAAACATTCTGATAAAGCATACAACATAGAAAAAAGACTTGTATAATAATATTCATTAAAATTTTAAATCACATAACCTGATAAATTTAAAGCCAAAACAGTACAAGTATATAAATTACAACAACTTAAAGTTAATTATTGAATTACATCAATCACAACTATAGATCTATAACTTATTAAAATCAAATATGTATAAGACATAGCACATTATGATAATAACTATAAGTGATCTTTAAACTATAAGAGCAATAGAAACAGACAAGTCAGGCATAACATCAAGTAGTCACTATTATTTTTTTTTAGTTGAGATATTTAAAATTATTGACTCTTCTAAAAATAAAACCAAAAATATAATGATATAAACGTACATTATTAAAATAGACAAATATAAGAATGAATTATATTAATATACTTAATCTATTGTGAAAAAAGGGAGATTACCTTGTAGTGCTTGCCGTGTATCATTTAAATTATAAATATCAAGACCTTTTACTTTTGGATCGAGATTGCAAATATTAAAATTATAAATATATTTAATATAAGAATAAGTTATATTAGTATAATTAATATATTTATGATAATTTTTTTAAAAATAATATATATATATATATATATATATAATATGGGATGGGATCTCAAGGGCAATCCCATATCTTGTCCCATATGAAATTTCTTTTTCATCTCATTCTACAAAATTTTGTCTCACTTTTTTTAAGCTAGCAAAGATCTGTCCCTTCATAACAAGGACAAAAACGGCCATTCTTAACAGGTATAAGGTTGAACACCCTTAAATTTGATAGGAATAATTTAATATTTTTAAATTTTTATTTTGGTAATTAGTCCTAAAATTATAAAGAAGCTCCCCAATAAATATTATTCTCACTTAGTCCTTCCTCTAATTTCCCTTTACAAATTTTTTTTTGGGGGGGGGGGAATGGTTGGCACCGTCCTTCGAAGAAGTTCACCAGTATAGAAAATGTCAGCAATTTGGCATAATAGTTGATGACTTGCACCCACAAATTAGCTTTCTAAGCATCTAATTACGTAGGGTACGGCTTAGTTTAAATCCTATAATTCACCCACAAATATAACGTTGCGTACAAGGAATGCCATTAATTAGTATTTTTTCACATTAATTCATAAATAATATTTTTTATAAATTTCTATGTAACTATATATATAATAATTTTTATATAAAATCCTAACATTCAGTATTTATAAATTATAAAAAATACAGCTTATCTTATTTTGTGAAAATGCATAACATGAAAAACATTTTTAAGTTTATATTGTATATTGTTATATTAATTTATTAAATGAAAAGTAAAAGAGAAAGAAAGAGGAAAACAGTGATAAAAATGACCCATGAAAGCTGAAGAAATTAAAGCCTCGCGTAAATTACAATGAAGCTCCCCGCTTGGATTTAGTCGTTGAAAAACGTTGAATTTCTGGATAGTTAATTGGTTATGCTTTGTTTGGTGTTTGAACGCCAAGTAAGTGTGCATTGTATTACATTGATATCGAACGATATTATGTTTTGACTAGAAACTTAATAGAAATATTTAATTTTACTTTTTTAAAATTATGATCTGAGAGATGAGATTATGGTTATTATGTAAAATCTTAAAAATAGGTCTCTATTTTACACGGTTTGTAAAGAGACATAGATTTAATATTTTATATTAATATTGATATTGATATTAATTATTCATAATTTCCAGGCGTAAAAATTAATAACTGATAATTTGATCAACTTGCTCAGGAAAAAATGTCCATCCATACGTTCGCGGTGGATGAATAATTAGAATTTCAAGCCAAATAGGGTTGCTACGAAGTTTACATCATGCCATTCAAATCGGACTCTTCTTCGTCTCAATTATTGCCATCGCATTAATATATTATTATTATAATATTAATTTTGCAATATACATTTTACAATCAATCCCTATAAATAGCTTCAAGCTTGAGCTTTCTTGGTACAACCTTCATTCATATGCTTCTACAATCATCTTTCCTCTCTTTCTCTGTCTTCCAAATTAAATTTCGGCTCTCAAACTTTGCCCAGAAAAATTATGAAGGTATGCTCAACGCCAACAGGCCATTCATGAAAATGAAATTAAAGGAAAAAAGTGACCCCCCCCCCCCCCAAACCATGGTTTATTTTATTATTGTGATGATTTGATAGTGTTCTTGATCTTATTTTTTGTCATTTTCACTTAACTAGCACCCACCTATTTGAGACACACTAAAAAAAAAAAAAAGATTACATGAAACATCATTTTTTTAAATTGTTATCTCTCAATGTACGTTTATATTTATTTGTGAATATGGATAAGTTAATTTGTCCTTTTCTGTTCACGTGGATTTGCTATATTCTTGATCCCTTTTTATTTCCATATTATACAATTAATATATATTGTTTCTGTTCAATTAGTAAATTACTACATTGACATGTGATGAAATGTTGTATGAATGGGTGCAGCAAAAGGTTGTGATAAGAGTAGGGTCAATGAACACCCACAAGTTGAGATCCAAAGCCTTGAAGATTACTGTAGGTTTTTCTGGTGAGTTTTTATATGGATTTGATCCAAAGTTTAAGATTTTTTTTTTCGGTGCATTTTTTTATTGGTGATCGGATTTGTGTTTTTGTGTGTGTTACATGGAACTCGGAAAATGAGTTGCATTTGAATAATATATAACCTGCTATAAATTTTATATATTTATTTTGAAAAATATAACAGTAGATCCTTGTATTTTGACTGTGTTATATTTTTAGTTTTTATAGTTTTATTTTGTTGTTCTGGCTCCTTTAGTTTGATCCATCTGCAATGTTAGTCCCATAGTTTTAAAAATTCACATAAAGATCATGAGTTGACATTGATAGAGATAATTTTCTTAGACATGTACTTAACTCTGTTAATTCCTTTGCTGACATGTATTTAATCTCGTGTTATTCTTCCGCATTTATTTAACCCAAATATAAAAGAGTGCTTTTTCCTCTCACATTTTATTTTTGATTAATTATACATGGTCAGTTTATTTTCAAGTTAGCATATTTTTATCATGTTAGTGAAAAGGTTAATAGAGTTATAGTGAAATTAACTCCATCAATTTCAAGTTAACTTATGATCTTTATGCATATTTTTAAAATTTATAAGAATTAACGTTGCAGACTGATTAAGCCAAAGAAACCGAAAATAATAAAAAATAAAATTATATGGATTAAAAATAAAAAGCAATCAAAGTATAGAAACCTATTATTGTATCTCCTATATTTTTTAATTGATAACTAGATGAACATTTCAAATTAAGAAAATGATAATAAAATCCCTTTGACTTATGTAAGTGATAATTTGATTCTTTGAAATATCATAATACCAATGAAATCTCTAAGGACCTCTTTGTCAATAAATTTTTTTAAAAAAACTATTTTACCCTTATTGATAAATGGTGATTTCTTATTCAATTCTTGCAATTCTTTGAAAAAAAATTATAATTTTTTATATAAAAGTTGTGAATAGAGTTTGTTATTTTGAAAACTTATTTTTTAATAATAGAAATTACACTTAACAAATTATGATTTGTTGTTTAATTCTTGCAATTTAGAAAATAAAATTTGCTATTTTTTAAACAAAAGTTGTGGGTAAGGCTTGTTTTTCAATAATGCAAATTACATTTGATGAGTTATAATTTATTGTTTAACTTTTGTAATTTACAAAATAAAAGTTATGATTGAGTCTTGTTATTTTTAGTAAAAGTAAAATGATCTTTTTTCTAAAAAAGTTATTGGCAAAGAGGTCCCTAGAGACTTCATTGATATTATAACATTTTAAGAGACTAAATTGTTATTTATATAATTTAAAAGGATTTTATTGTCATTTTTCCTTTCAAATTTGGATCATTTTTATACCTCCCTTAATATCTCCTTCCATACTCAATCCTATTTGTCCATTTAATTATTTATTTGATTTAATGATGTAAGGTTAATTATGGCATTAAAATAAATGAGTTTTTGCATATATAGCTCATGTTATAGAAACAAACAATCAAATAACCCAATATTTATTATATTTTATATTATGTTTTATTTATTATATTCGCTAATAATATACTTTTGTATATCTATAATAAACCTTTTGTAAATTTTTAATTATAAATTCTTTATATATTAATGATAAAATGTGAACTGACTACATATTAAATTTCCAAAAATTTTATCTATATTTTTGGACACACACAGCTTTTTGGCGATTGGGCCAATTTATCCCTGAAAATAAATAGATTGTTAATTTAATAATTATCATAAAAAAAAACTTTTTGACCTCATTTTAAAAAGCATTTAAGTGATGATAATGGATAATATATTTCTTTTTAATGACATAATTAGCAATCTTAGATTATGAAACCAAATAAATAATTAAATGAATGAATGGGATTGAATATATGGATAAGAGGGAAGTATTGATAAAGGGAATGGATGTAATCCAAGTTCATAAGTTCCATGCATGTATTGCATAGGGTCTAAGAAATGATAAGTTATATCAGTCACAGTTTTTAAATATTAAAAATGTTTTGTTAGCGTTTATATAATTTACAACGTACACTATGATTGAAGTTTGTTAAAGGAAAAGCTAAATAGAAGCTAACCGAAAAAAGCATGCAGGAGTGGAAGGAGCGAGATTCAAAGGGGAAGAGAAGGATGAAATAGAAGTAATAGGAGAAGGATTGGATATAGTTGAGCTCACAAATTTGCTTAGAAAGTGTGTTGGTCATGCTGACCTCCTCAGTGTGGGTCCTGTAAAAGAAGAAAAGAAGAAACATGATTTTAAAAGCTCACAATCAGATTCAGATGATCACAATATAATCTGTTATTATCCACAAAGCATTCCCTATTACCCAATTCATCATTGCAAGAATTCATATCAGTATCATCATGATCCTTACTATTGTTCCATCATGTAAGGCAAGAGAATTGTTAAGACTTGCTTCTCTAGTGGATTCCCTGCTTGACATCCCTTGTAAACATTGACATTCAAAATACCCTCATCACAGGCTTGTTTGTATTAATTATATATGCTCAAATTCAAAGGGAAACACGTACGCAAGAGTACTGAACTTGTGTTTGTTTAAAGTTTGTTCCTCTTTTTTAATTTTTTTTTAACGTTCGCCTTCTCTTTTATTATTTCTTCTTGATTAATTGTATCAAGGTCATGAGTACAAAGAATATTTCTTGTTACCCAGTTTAGTTGGAGGGAAATGGAGAGGTAGGTAGGGGTGAGCAAGACCGAATCGAAGCAAAAAATTGAATTAAATTTTATCTATTTGATTCAGTCTATTCGATTTTTTAATTCGATTTAGTTTTCTTTTAATGAAAATTTTAGTTGATTGGTTCAATTCGGTATGAGAATGCAAGAATTAAATAAACTGAACATACCTAATTATCCATATTTTTTCTTTCATATTTTTGAAAATGTAAATAAATTCTCATCTAGATGAGTAAGAAAGATCTTTCTACTACTTGCAATAATAGTATTTTTTTTGTTTAATGTGATGTTCTAATTTTTTATTTTTATAATTTAGTTTTTAGTACAATAGTATTGAGTCTTATTAATTTTCTTATAAATTATGGTATAAGATTGTTATTTTTTTGTTGGCCCTTCAACATCAAGAGAAAAAAAATTGGATAAAAAAATATATGAACAATTAAATTTTATACAACCAAATCAAAGCCTATAAATTGAATAGATTGATCGAACCAAATCAATAAAATTCAGTTCAGTTTTGATTTGGTTTGGTTATGTATTTAGATTTGATTCAATTTAAATTTTTTATATAATTTGATCAATCAATTTTACAGAAATTAAAAACGAATTGATCAAATGCTCACCCAAGGAAGTTATGATAAGTTTAATATTTTTTAACATAAAAAATTCAAAAGAGAGGGTATAAAATGTTAATAAAGAAAAGATATAAATTAAAAGAGCAAGAAAAATTAATTAAACTCTTTTAATTTCACTTCTCCAATTTTTTTAAAAATTGAATTTATTAGAATCCCCCCTCCCCCTTTATTTTCATCTAAAGTCTAAACAACACGCACAGACTTTTGAGATTTTGTTCGTCCAATGATGCATGATTTCATAAACCTAATGTTGTGTTTGGATATATTAGAATTTGAATTTAAACCAAATATTTTTATTTAAATATATAAAAATTTATGAATTTGGATTATTATAAATTTTACTATTGGTGTCTCTTTACTACTCTTGCTTCTCTCATCAATTAAAAAAAAAAAAAAAGAGGTAAGCTTATCATTACTAATTTTCTGCTTGTGCTTGACATATCAACTCATATCTTTTCTAACTTTAAAATTGTTATACTAGTTAAATAAATATTTTAAATACATGAATTTAAACTATGGGTTTTTAAATTTAAAATTAAAATTTAAATCTGCTAATTTAAAGGCTAATTTCAATCTCTCTATTTTCGATCTTTGGGAATAGCCTTTCTTTCCATGATCAAATTACCAAGACTTGTGAATTTATTCCCCAATATGTTATGTATAATTGTTCACTCATGCGCCTTCTCTTTACTTCGGAAATTAGATTAATTAAATAAACCTAATTTAATAAGGAATGAAGTAAATTTTGTGAAAAACAAAGGATAATCGCAGACGGTATATGTTTGAGTTTGGTTTATTTTAAAGCTCTGATACGATTTCACGTCATAGTTAATCTGACATTTAATATTTTCAAAACGAGGTATGAATATATATATATATATATATATTAGAATAAAGTGTTAATGGGAAAATTTACTTCAATTTTCTAATGAAAAAATTTATTATTAAACTATAAGTTGAAGAACGTCGAAAATATTAAACTCATTTTTAATAAAATATTTTTTTAGAATTTTAAAATAATTCAATATTATTCAATTATTAATAAATATTAATTTTGACGGTTCATTGATTAAAAAAATTACAAAAAAATATTTCAAAAATTACAAAAAATATTCAGAAATTACGGAACAGAATAAAAAAATTATAAATAAGTATCATATAAAAATATTACTGAGTAAATTTTTTAAATTATAAATAAATATTAAGAGATAAACGTTATTTCTTTTACATGTATAAAATAAAATTCAATTTTAATCAAGTATTTTGACTAGCTACCGAGTGACTTTCGGATAACCATTATTGACACTAACACTTATAAGTAATTCAAAAATAATATATTTATTTTAATAAATCTTATTAAAATATCAATACTTTAATAGTTAATAGTTTAAATATTATTATTGATAATTATTCTTCCAAAATTTATAATTTTTCGTTTAGAAATTAAAAACTCAATTGCTACGTTTGAGATTTATATGTGAATATTTTTAACAACTCGACTATTATATTTGTAAAGATTACATTCATTTTTAAAACACAAATACATTAACTGAGTTGTAATTTTGGAGAAATTGTAAATATAAAAAATTAACTTGTAATTTGGGAACAAAATTGATATTAGTTTTTTAAAGGATCTTTTTCTATATATTTCTTATTTTTTAATAATTTTTAAGATAATTTTTAAGATAATTTTTTATAATGTTTGTTAATTTTAAGGAAAGTATCACACCAATTTGAAATGTTAAAGAGTAACATTACACTATAAATAAATGAAAAAATAATAATACAATTTTTTGAATTATATAAATGATAATTTATTTCCTCAAAATACTCTAATTTTACTAAAGTTTTTAAAAACTTTTCTATCGTAATAAATTTATAGAAATGATTAAATTATCCTTATTAAAAATAAAATGATCACAAATTTTATTTAAATAATTATATTTTTTTTATTATATTTACAACAATACAACAGTAAGTCATGAATTCACATGTCAAATTCTTGATATTGCTACAGGTGTTAAGAATAAAAAATAATAATCAAAAATTTTATTTAAATAATTATAATTTTTTAATAATTTTATAATGGATCTTTTATGATATTAGTTTTTTAAAGGATCTTTTTCTATATATTTCTTATTTTTTAATAATTTTTAAGATAATTTTTTATAATGTTTGTTAATTGTAAGGAAAGTATCACACCAATTTGAAATGTTAAAGAGTAACATTACACTATAAATAAATGAAAAAATAATAATATAATTTTTTTGAATTATATAAATGATAATTTATTTCCTCAAAATACTCTAATTTTACTAAAGTTTTTAAAAACTTTTCTATCGTAATAAATTTATAGAAATGATTAAATTATCCTTATTAAAAATAAAATGATCACAAATTTTATTTAAATAATTATAATTTTTTTTATTATATTTACAACAATACAACAGTAAGTCATGAATTCACATGTCAAATTCTTGATATTGCTACAGGTGTTAAGAATAAAAAATAATAATCAAAAATTTTATTTAAATAATTATAATTTTATTCTTATATTTACAACAATACAAACAGCAAATCATATATTTGCATGTCAAATTTTTGATATTACTATAGGTATTGAAAATAATAAGTAATGATAATAAGTTTTATTTAAATAATCAAAATTTTACTTTTTATATTCACAACAATATAATAACAAATCACAATATTTTGCATGTCAAATTCTTGATATTATTGCAAGAGCAATTTGATCATTTACATAAATTATTAATGATAGAAAAGTCCTTAAAGTTTTAGTGAAATTATGACATTTTAAAGGATCAAAGTGTTATTTATATAATTCAGAAAGATTTTACTGTCACTTTATCTAAATAAATTTAGAGTTTTAAATATTCTTAAATTTATAATTGAAGTATAAATTTATCATTTAACCTCTACATAATGAGGCTTTGAATTGAAATATGGTTCAATAATCAACCTCTCGCTTCTGAGGCAATTTCACCACGGTACTACAAAGAAAAAAATATTTATCAATATACTATATTTTTAAAAATATTTTTTTAAATGTTACAAATTTAAAATTTAGTTCCAATGAAATTGAATTTTATTTTTTTTACAAAAAGGTACAGAACTTGATTTCTATCAAACCAAGTTCTGTACTTATATTTTTTTAAAAAAATTGATTTGATGTGTGGCAAGTTATGCCTACCATGATTTTATCTCAACATATGATTGCATTTTATAGCCTGAACCAACCAAAAAAAAAAATTTAAGGTTAGACTTAAAAAAGATATTTTTATTTTGGGTTAGGATTAGTCCAAATAGGCTTAAAAAATTTAAGTATAAAAAATATATTTTCTATTTTTTATAAAATAAAAATATTTAATTTTAAAGTGAAAAATTAATTAAAAATAATTTTAAAAATAAAATTTGGGTATTTGAACCCCACTTTATTTGGGTTTTGGGCAACCAAAATATCTGAATTTTATTTTTAAAATTATTGTGAATTAATTTTTTACTTTAAAATTAATTATTTTTATTTTATAAAAAATATACAATATATTTTTTATGCTTAAACAATGCATAGGACTTTATTATATAGTATTTTAATATAAAATGACCTGAACATTAAAGAATTAATTAATATTTAATTATATTTTATATTTTTAAAAATAAAATTTTTTTATTTGGGCCAAGCCCAAAACTGATCAAGTTATAAATTTAATTTTAAATTTTTTTAAATAAGTTCGGGCTTACCCATTAAGTTTGGGCCGAAATGTCGACTATGGCGACAAGGTAAGAAGAAAAGGGAAATTATGAAGTGCAATCATATGTTAAATTGATATCATAATAGGAATAATTTGCCACACATATCACATCAATTTTTTTTAAAAAATATAAATACAAAACTCCCCCTTTTTTTCCACCATCCATATTTGTTCTTCATTTCAGATCAGTTGCCATATTGGATCATTTATTTAAAAAAAAAAGGCTAAATTATGTAAAAATCGTTTGAACTTTGTCTCATATGAATAAAATCCTTATGCTTTAAAACTAGATGAATAACAAACCTGTAAAATTTCTGAGATTGTTTAAATAACCATTGTTGTTAATAAGTCTGTTTGTTTACTAATAGAACATAATATTTATTAACCTTACATGAGAAAAATCAATGCAAGAAATTTAAATATAATTTTTTTATAAAATCACAAAATTGCTCTAAAGTTCTGTGTCTTTTAAACTTTTTTTCTTTACAAATAAGCCCTTCATATATTGAGTTATGTATACATAAATCCTTCATAATTTTAATTTATATTTTATACTCCTTCCGTTTAAAAATCTAAGATATTTTTAATTAAATTTCTCCCCCAATAAAACAGTTATTACTTTTCAGTTAACCACATCTTTCTATATTTACCCTTGTTAAACACCCTATATTAAATATAAAGTCATTATCAATAGAGACATTTTTAAAAAAATGCAATAATTACATATCAAAATACTAAAAATATTTTATATTTTTAAATATCCAACTTCTTAAAAAATGCCTTATATTTTTGACCGAATGAAGTATGCAATAAACTTGCTATCATTTTACATTTCATTAATGAAATCACAAAAAATTAATAGTAAGGAAGTTATGCATTTAAAAAGAATAGTAATTAAGTTATATACTTAAATATGAAAGTTTAAGGGGTTGATTACAAAATTGTAAATTTCATAGAGTTTATTCCAAAGAGAATAATAAAATTTTATTGACAAAAAGAACAAATTTGACATGCCCAAAGTAGATAAGATGTATAGACACTGATCATTTAAGGATAAATATGTTAAATAGTTTCACTTTTGCAGAAAAAAAAGAAAAAATTAATTTCATCAAGTCCCACACCATAATCTAAATGCAAAATTAATATTGAAAAATTATAACTTTAAGTCCCTGTACTTTACTTATGTCTTGTTATAGATCCCTACACTTTGTTTGGTATTTTAGGTCTTTACACTTTTATTTTCTATGTTCTAGATCTTTTCATGAACAAAGTGTAAGGATTTAGAATATCAAAAAATAAAAGTGTAGGAATTTAAAACACTAAAAAAGTATAGAGACTTATAACAAAAAGCAAGTAAAGTATAAGAATTTAATGTTATATTTTCTCAAATATATATATATACATAAAATCACAAAATTACTTTAAAGAATTATCAATTTACTATATTGAAATTGTCAATTACTATTATATAATTATTAACTTGATTTTCCCATTGCATTGAGGGTAATTTTTCTTCCTTTGATTATCCTCCATGGCTCCGCCTATGCTTCAGGAGGTGGCAGATGATGGTGGGGGGTAGTTCCTCTCTTAGTTGTTGTATTCTGTTTTAGTTTTTTTTTTTAAATTTTTTTTACCTCTAACTTAACCTTCTTTAATTAAAAAAAAAAAAGAGACACAAGCATTCGCCCATGTACACAAGTACATTAACACTATATTTGAACCCATGACTTTTTCTAAAAAAAAGGAGGTGGTGTTGTCGTTAGACAACTGACTGTTGATAATATTCTGTTTTAGTTGAGCTACTGTTAATGAAGTTTCAGTTCCTATTAAAAAAATAGTAATTAACAATTATTTAATACTAATTCACAACTTCAATAAATAATATTATAATATTTTTGTACTTCTGTAGAACTTTTTTATATTTAAATTATCAACGGGTATCTGAGAGACTGAGGCTGTGTTTTTTAAACAAAAAAGTGTTAACGCCTTAATGGGCTAGCTTGGCCCATAAGTTGATAGGCTTTTATAGGGCTTTTCATATTGAGGACGTTTATGGGTTTGGACTTTGAAAGATAGCATCAGGTTCAAGCCTACGGGCTCCTCATTTCAAAGTTCAAACATAACTCTACCCAAGCAACTGGAACAATCGTCGCCGACGGAGCGCGCGAACTCGGTCTGAGCTTCGATCTACTGGCGTCGCAGCAAACCGAATTCGGGCGTGGGTTCGCGCTTCTTTTCTGCTAGCCGGAAGCTCTGATACGCTTAGAAATTCTTTGCACGTCTCTGGTCTGAACTCGTTGGCAGCTCTGTGACTTCTCTCTGACCTATTATTTTTCGCGTCTGCATTACGTATTAGGTGTTTGGTATGTTTTTTTAGACTCAAATTTGACATTGATTTTGTGATTTCGTGATGGATTTTTTATTTTTATTAAACATAGCATTTTGTACCTGAGCTTTAGGATTGTGAATTTGTGATTAAGATTCGGGTTCCTCTGTCTTCAAAATCCCACGCTCTTTGAGCGTTCATTTGTATGTTTTAATATAGTACGACTGCTGTAAGTTATGATTATTGATACTAAGCTGTATTTCAAGCTTACAGAATCTCAAGTTTGTGTGCTTGTCTCTGTCTGATATCCTTCAATATCTCATGGGGAAGCTTTGACTACGGAAACCCCGGTTGGATGAAAAACCTTCCCCCAAAAGCAATTGCATCCCATATTATTTATTTAATGTGAGAATGAGGCATCCTGCGCAATCATGTCAATCTGCAAGCCTGATTTAATTTTTTTCCCAATAAGATTGAAAGTTCATTGGGTACACTTACTCTCTCACTCACTTACTGTGTGACCTTAGTCTACTTTTGGCTAAATATTTTTCATTATTCTCTGTAAGGCACAGATATTGAGGGAAGGGTTTTGTTTGAGCTTGCATAAATTCTATTAACTAAGTTTGTGTGTGCTGATTTCCATGTATTCAGTTGGTTCTGACTGGCTAAAAATTCCGCCTGGGATGGTGATTCCTTCTGCATTACCAGCAAAATGTTCAGGTTTCTTCCAAGTTCCAACTCTTCTGATTTTGCATATGAATTCTTGATTTGCATTCCGGCTAACATTTTTCTTTTATGTTTTATAGTTTTCCTTTGTCAAGATATTCCATTTTTATCAAAGTTTCCAGCACACTGTGCTACCAGAGTTGATTACCACAAAACTCTCCCTTCGACATCTAGAACAGTAATGATGTCTTGCCTCTTTTCCTATTCCCAACTTCCTCATTCACATTGTGGCTCTTTCTATACGTATTTAAGGGGCAATATCATTTATCATTATAATGTTTTGTGTGGGCAGATTCGTGGCACAAAGATAAAATATTCTTCTAGAAGCCATTTTAGCACCAGACTAGTGATGTTTGCTGCAAAAAATGATCAATTGCGATTTGATGATGAGTTCCCTCAGGAGCCTTTTTGGTTGAGTCTTATCGCAGACATCATTTGGTATTGTTTGAATAAGTTTATTGTGAAACTGTAGTATAATTAAAATAATATTTTTATCAACACATCTAATTCAGTTTTCTAACTCTGGTTCTAACAAACATAAATTAGATTCACCCGATAACTGTGCGTTCAATCTCAGGGGAGTGAAATCTTTATTTGCATTTCTGGTTGAGCAGCCGAGCCAGCTGAAGTACATAGAATGGCCGAGCTTTAGTAATACGGTACGTCTTAGAAGTTTATAGTTTGGAAAAATATGTTTAACTTCTCAAAACCAAGACCTACTACTATCTCAATACATTACATCAACTTAAAGTGTAAATAAAAATTCCCTTATCTTGGGAAAAAGTATAAAAAACAATGTAAAGTTAGCCCGTTTTTTTTTTTTAGAAAGAACAGGAAGTGTTTTTTTTTTTTGTGAGTACAGAAAATATATTTAGGTTTTTAATGTCGGGGTTAAAATGTATTTTTCCCCTTTATTGTCGCGCTTGGAATTATAAATCAGAGTCGTCTTGCTACTTTCATGGAGATTCCCATGTCACAGCCACGGATTTCCTTGCTTTCTGTAGAATTGTTGATTGAGGATTTTGAATTGTGGGACTCTGCAGGTAAGGACTGCTACGCTGACTCTTGTCCTTGTTGCACTGCTTATTGTGGCACTCGCATCTGTTGATTCTGCTCTCTGCTACCTGTTGGCCTTAGTTCTTCGAAAAGCCTCATAACTGGTATTACACTACAAATTTGACTTCTTGTTTAATCGTTACTTGCAATTTCAAAGTAATTAAGTATAGTGGTATACCGAAACTTGCTTGTTAGCCTTTAATGTTGAGACTTGAGCATGTGATGCTTGTAGAATTGCACCTACTATACTTAGTTTTAAAGTAATTAAGTATAGTAGTATACCCAAACTTCCTTGTAGAATTTTTTTTTTTTAGTACTTATGGTTCTAAAAAAAATTCAACATCTGTCGCATGATAGGTCTGAAATTGTACTAAACTTAAATCATAGGTGTCCCTTCTTGGTAAAAGGGATGAACCTGTACGAGTATAGACTACAAATTTTTCTTCTCAGTTTTCAACAACCTTGATCTTTTCAAACCAAAGTCACAAAGAAGGATGCGCTAAAAGGTTCTCGTCTTTGAAGCTACCATTAGTATTAGGCGTCGTACCGATACTGGACCCCGTCCATTTATAGCAATGATCACCCCTTCCAAATTATGGTTTTCAAAATTGGACTGGTCCAATTCATAAACTAACAAACCCATCTCAAGTTCAACACCTATGGCCTAACATTTTAAAAAGGGAGAATTTCACTTTCGACACTTGACCAAAATTAAATTTAAAACTCCTAATTTTTTTGAAATTTTACTGCAATTCAAATATTAAATTTATGAGAGAAATGGTAAAATTGTCCATCTTTTAAATTAATGTCAGAACTTTTTTATTGTTCATTTATTTACAGAATGTTGTTAATTGTCCAATTTAACTTGCTTTTATTTTAGGTATTTAAATCATTTTAAAACAATTTATTGATTCTGATACTATATGTTGTTCATTTATTTAAGACTATTGCTCATGGCCCTACTTCACTTGTTATTACCATATTTTTACTTGATTTCATTCATAGGAAATAGTCAAGTGAAGTGGAATAATTAGTAGCATTCAATAAGCAAATGAACAAGTGGAATAAAACAATTAATAAGTGAAGTAGGGAAGTCTTGACATTAATTTAAATGGAGGGTGATTTTGTTATTTTTCTCAAAAATTTAATATCAAATCAATACTTCTGTGCTACAGTGAAATTCCAAAAATTTTGGGTCTTTGAATGTAATTAAATATGGACAAGGGTCCTTTATTAAAATTCTTCGTTTTGAAAAAATCAATCATTCAAGTTTGTGTGCATGTAAAATATGTTTTTAGAAGCGCTTCTTTTAATTTGAATCAGTATTTTAAGACCCAGGCACTTGGATAGCCTCCCAAATATAAAAATGGTTTTGTTTGGCTCATTAAGTCTTTCAAGCCAACTTGTTTGACATGCTTAGAATTAATCTGGAATTCTAAAACAATTGGATAATTTTGATTTTTTTTTTTGGCATTTCTCTTACTTTAGTAATGAGAATTTTTATCCAATTTAAAAAGATTAATGTCAACATCATTTTAGGTTGTTGGTAGTAAAATTTTGAGTGCATGATTTGTTTATTGACATGATATGAATTATATTTTAAAGTTGAAAACTTATTTGCTTTAATGGGACAAAAGGTAAATAAATAAATATGCATATAAAAAAAGTGAGGAAATTAAAACTTAATTTGTTATGGCTAAACAACTTTGAATGGAGAGCGATATTGTGGGTATTTTAATGTTATATGTGCGCATGCTTGCATATACATGTTATTTTTTATTTAATTATTATTTTATTTGTTTGGCCACTAGTTAAACTAGTTAAACCATGAGAACAATGACTTGCTCATATTTTTTATTCGCTGCTCAATCTGGTTTTTAAAACATTAATTTAGATCTAGCAAAAACTTAAAATCCAAATTAGTACTAAATTAGTAGATTTTTATCATTGAATACAAGGAAGTTATGCACAAAATAAAATAAAATAATCATTCAAGAAAACAGTCATTCATTGGTCTACAACTCAAGTTGGTTTGAATGATAAGAGTTTATCTAAGCAAGTAACTGTGATATTGAATCTCAACTTTTAAGTACATAACAATTTAGTTGGAAGGGATTTATGTTTATTTTTCGCTCTCAATATCACAAGAGAAATAATCTCTGCTTATTTCTTGTGCTCGCTAGACAAAAACAAAATAAGTTATATATTCAATCTAAACAATTTAGATAATAAAAAAAAGTTAAGTATAAATTTGCCCTTAATGTTTTAAGGAGGTGCAATTGATATTCTTACATTTTAAAATGTGCAATGTCATCTTGATAGTTTTTTAAAATCAAACAATAGTTGACCCATTAATGCTTGCATGGCATGCCACATATAGTCAAATGGACCCCGCACATTGATGCCACATATGCGTAGAATTTTTAAATGTTGTTACGTACGCTAAAAATTATCACTCTTTCCTCTTCCTTTTTTTCCTTCTTATCACTGAAACCATCATGCAGACGAAGCAAATCAAAAACACAAATCGAGAACCTAGTAAATCAAGAACACAACAAATCAAATCAAGAAAGATAGGTGAAGAATGAAAAAAAAAAAAAAAACTATTGAATTAAGATGCCAACATTAACCTGAACAATCAAATCGGATCATAATCAATAATAAAAAATATTTAAGAAAATCGCAGTGCAAACTCAACAAAAACTATTGAAGTTGAATAGTCAAGCTTCAATCTACGTTGATCAAGAATTAAGAATACATCTTTAGATTATTAAGAATTAAGAAAAATCAATAGAAAAATCCGACAACTATAACCAAAATCTATCATACAGAATACCAAAATGTAACTCCAAAATAAGGGAGTAATTGTGATGAATATTACAAAAATTATGGCTCAATCTAATTGCAAAGAGCAGACAAAACTGGAAAATGAATCGAGGGATGAGACAAAGATGGACCAAAATATGATTGCAAGACATAAAGGATGATGGTGGAAACTCGATGTCGAAGCATAAATGGCAAAGCACGAAGCCACAAATCATGAAAGACAAAGTAAAGGGCGCAAGAATGTGGCGAAATCTCAACAAAAATCAAAGCATGAATATGGCAAAAGCTTCTTTGATCCACTTTGATGTGTTCGATGACTAAAGCTTATTTGATTTGTTCAATGAATCTGGCAAAGAAATAGGTCATGGGTTTGGATTTGTTAGGATGTTGATCTAGGCGAAGGGGTTCGACAGTGCTTGATTTAGGTTGAGGGTTTGCTCTTGGGTGGATGACAATGGAGGTTTGGGTGTCAAAATCGTTTTGAATCCCCGCCCAATGTCTTCTGATTTGTTTGAACTGGATGGAGGGGTGGGTTCAACAACAGTTGAGTTCTCTTATTTGTTCAATCTGGACAAAGGGGTTCACTGGAGGTTGGGTTCTTTGATTTGTTTGATGACGAAGGGATAGAGGGGTTTGATGGAGTAAACGATGCAAGAATCAAACGTGTGCAAGAATCAGAAGGTGAAGAAGAAGACGAGGTAACAGGGACCAAATGCAACGGGAACAAGTTTGGGTTGTTCCGGGCAGCGTTTTTTTATTTTTTTAATTTTTAAAATATGCTAGTTGGCTGCCTACATGGAAATTCAGGGTCAAACCGACGATCAACATGATTAAATTTTGACGAGAGGGCAAAATTGTTTGATTGTGAAAAACATCAGGGTGACGTTGTGCCTTTTAAAAATGTAAGGGTATCAATTGTGCCTCTTTGAAAACATCCGCGGCATATTTGTACATTAGTCCTAAAAAAAACCTCTTTTTGTTGTTTCAAAGGTAACATAGTATCAGTTAAAAAAAAAAAACAGTTTTGGAGGAGAATTACGGTTGTTTATTCCCTATTCTAAGATCCTACTTAATTCGATGTCAGGGTAATCTATTATCTAGTATCTTTTAATGGAAAGTTAATTGGGGTACTTTCTTCTTCTTCTTGTCTTTTGGGTAGGGGGTTGGGGATGTTATAATATAATAGCACTTCTAAGTTCTAATGGCAATGCTTGGTGGAAGAATCTGTGTTGATGAAAGCATGAGCCCATAAAAAAGTCAAGGAATCCATACATCTGTTGAGTAAGTGTACAACTGGGACAGCATGGCTCCCTGTTATTCGGCTAACCAAATTAATTGTTCTGTCCTGCCTTTTCCCAAACTTGGCCCACTAACTTCCAAAAATAATCCGTATGGGTAGGTTTAGGTTTAAATATTAATATTCTAAGCATATTTCTGTTCAAAATATTTAAAAGTAACTTTAAAAAACTTAATCATCTATTTGTACCCAATATTTTACTTTTGAATATTTCTCTCCACTTATTCCATTCTTCAATCACAGGAAGAAATGTATAGGTTTTTTTTTTTTTTTTTTGCTTGCTCCCTCCCTCCTGGTATGTGGTTTGAAGCAAAAAAGAAAAGAAAAAAGAAAAAAAAGGGAAAATGGCATATACATCTTAAGGGAACCAATTAATTTAAAGTAAGTTTTAAAGTGCCAAACTTTTAAAATTTGTAAGTTTGGGTCTCAATTTTATAATTTTATTATGATAAATTTGTAACTTATTTTTTAAATTTTAACTTAGTTGAAGAATAAATAAAATTATTTTTTCTATTAAAATTTAAAACATAAATTGTAAATTTATTATAATGAAGTTGTAAAATTAAGAACTAAACTTGCAAATTTTTAGAATTTGGCATTTTGAGACTTACTTTGAATTAATTGATCTCTTGTGACTTACCTGTCATTCTCCCAAGAAACAAAAATGCTTATGTGAGTGTAAGAGGAAGGCTAGGAGAAAGGGAATAAGAGACAATGGTTGAAACATCTTTGAAGTATTGGTTTTGGCTTCTGTAATTGCCAACACTTGACATTCTAAGATGAACATAACACCTTTAGAGGTTCACAACCTATCATTTTCTTTGTGACATTCTTCAAAATAAAGACACATTTATAAAGCATACTTAAATTCTCATGAGTGCAAAATGGAATTGCCCCTCCAAGGGGTTTTGACATTTTTGGGCCACTATATATGACATTTTTTTTTGTTTGAATGGGTATGTTTAGTGATCAAAACTTGTTTTTAGAAAAACAAACAGACGAACGAAATTGATTTCTTTCTTCCCACTTAAGGGGAAAGGGAGAAGAACAAAGAAAGAACGAGAAGAATAATAAGCCACAAATTGATTGACTCTTTCTCTATCTTTCTTATCTTCTAAGGAATCCTAAACTTTATCATGGAATACAAGTGAGAACGACCATTTTCTTATCATTTTCCAAATTTTATGAACATTTTCCTTTTAGCTAGTCATGATGTGCCTCCCTCTCCTCCCTCTACTCTTCAACTTTGTTGAGTATATGCTTGCTTCCATTTTCAATAATTTTCAAAATCTTATTTGCTGGCCAAAAAATAGTTTCTTTAGCTCACCAAGTGTTTGAGTATTCCAAAAAAAAAAATTGTTGGAGCCGGAGACTTGAAACGATCTCAATGTGTATACCACAAAATTTTTATAATAGAATTTCATTTACTTTTATTTACATACCAAATATATATACTAGAGAAAAATAATTTATTGCATTAAAAATATATTCCCTCCATTAAAAATGTAAGACATTTTTAATTAAATCTCACTTCTCAATAAAATAGTTATCTGTTTTCAAACTAATCTTATATTTTCATATTTATTTCTATTAAATACCTCAAAACAAATGTAAAGTTATTCATCAATAGGGATATTTTTAAAAAAAGATAATTATTGTAGCACGAAAGACTAAAAATGTCTTGCATTTTTAAACATTCAATTCTTTAAAAAATATCTTATATTTTTGAGTGGGGGTAGTATTGCTTTTCATTTTTTGTCAAATTCATTTGTTTAAAAATTCTTTTCAACGTAGGCGGGTCCTAAGAGATATTTCTTTGCCCTTTTCTTGAAACACAAAATTGTGAACATGCCATAAACTGTCTTATTTAAATAATGCGTCTTCTTTGGTAAGAAATAGTATCTATGAACTTTTGGAGCTCGACAATTAAGATTAGGGCCTAACTTGCTGTCCAAAAATAGGCCTACCTTTGCAACTTCTTCTAAATCATAAATCTCATTTTAAGATATAAAATACAGAATAAATAATTTTTTGCTTTAAAATATCAAAGATTCAAATGGGTATAAATTGCTATTAAGTTCATCGTCATTAGTTAATCTTTGAAAAATTTTCATAAAAAATGTTTACTTACATTTTATTCTTTAGAATAGATAAATCGTGCAATTCAAAGAAACTGGCATCTATTAATTGATGCCGACCTCAACATCACATGTGAAAAATTAGGCTAGAAAAAAATAGGACGTAGACTCTTAGGTTCAGTATATAAAATAACAAAAAATTTGTGATTAAAATGACATTTATATCTATTAACTTCTTCTTTTTCGGCCGCAAAAATGATAGCTTTAGGACGTGTTTGATTTCTATTTCAAAAAAACTGTTTAATGTTTTTAAAATAAAAAAATTTGAATATGTGTTTTGAATTTAAATTTTTTAAAATTATTTTCATTTTTTTATTTTAAAAACAAAAAATAAAATTATTTAGAGTTATTTTTTTAGTTTTAAAAATAAAAAATAGAACAAAACCAAATAAACCCTTCAAGACAGATTTAAACTTTTAAATTTTCCAAACTAATAAATTTTATAAAATTTTATAGTTGTAATTTTGTTATTATGTTCTATCAAGACAATCAATCATGCCATGAAATGTGTTGCATGCGTCCCTCCGTTCTGCATCATTCTCATTCAAACGTGCAATTAGATCCAAAAAGGAAATTTCTTTGTGGTCCCAGTCACTGTGGATTTGATATTATAATTGTCCTAATACAATTCAAACACTCCCAGCGATTAATTAAGTGCCAAATTGACCCCTTAAGAATCAACACCCTCCAATTTTTTTATTTTCGTTGTTTATCTCCAAAGGCAAAAGCCATGATTTATTCACAAACATTAAAGGGATTACTTTTTTTTTTAATAGTAAGAAACCTCAAAACCTCTTTCAATCTAATATTGAACTCCCACTAATTTAAATTAGAGTTAAATGGAGTTTTAGACATGTCTTCCAATTTTTTCTCAATTACTGATTTAATTCTTTAAATTTGAATCAAAATAACCTATTTTTTATAGTTTCTTAATTTGAAACAATTCAATTTTTATAGTTTTTTTTCAATATAACTCCATCCCTATAATTTTTTAATTGAATAAACTATAAGAATTAAATTGTATTGGGTTAAAATTTAAAAATTAAATGGATAATTAAAAATAATTTAAAAACTAAAAATTATATTATCTCAAAAAATCTTTTAATAGAAATTACCTTTTACCTAACAAAGAAAAAGTACAAAACCATTTGAACCCACTGACATCTTTATGTTTATCCCCTCTCAACCAATGTACATTAACAAAATGCTGCATTAGAGTTCCAAAGACTAAATAAGTATCTTTAACTTTTTGTTTGTCTTGTTTTAAAATATTCTCTCTAATGCTTATTATGGGAAACTTTTAATGATTTTATGTATATTAAAAAAATATTTTTTATATTATAAAAAAGTGAGATGCACTTTTATTTTTATTTTTAAATTTAAATAAAAATAAAACTATTTAAACACTTTCACACTAATCAAGAATGGATAAAATTAAAAAAAATAATTTAATTATTACAAAGTGTTTTATATTTTAGTTTAAAAATTATTTTTAAAAAATGTCTTATAAATAGGACTGAAAGGAACACATGATTTTATATATTTATATGGATCTTGCCCTACTTATGATCTGTATAAGAGCTCCAGCAGAAGAAGGTTGAAGACAGGCAAAGGAACTAAGCAGAATGAGGAACCCAAACAGTTCTTCTGCCTCTTATCCCTTTCTTCTCCAAATTCTGCTTTTCTTTCTCTTTCTGTTGCAAGCTCCCACTTTTGCTGACAAAAAGGTAACCATTAATTAACTTCAACTTTGGAAATATTCAGGCAAACACAAGTTCTTTGATTTGTTTCTGAAACCACTTTAATCTTTTGTTTTTTCCTTTTCGTGGTGGTAGCCATATATTGTGTACTTGGGATCTCACTCTCATGATCCACACTTGTCTTCCACTGATTTTCATGTCAGAAAGTCCCACTATAAGTTTCTGGGATCCTTTCTGGGAAGGTATGACGATGAGATTCATATCTAATCTAAACATAATATGATCAAACATTGAGATATATTTGATTTTGCTTCCATTGCAGTTCTGTTGCAGCAAAAGAATCGATCTTTTACTCATACACGAGACATATAAATGGTTTTGCTGCGACTCTGGAACAAGATGTGGCAGAGGATATAGCCAGTGAGAAACAGAGACTTGTACTTTTTGGGGGAAAATTAATCATCTGGGTCCTATAATTTTGATTAAATTACAATTCAATCTTTAAATTTTAATTTGGTGTAACTTAATCTCATAATTTTGACTTAATTTAAAATATTAATCTTTATATTTTAAAAAATTGCAAAAATTACAAGGATTGAACTGCACCAAATTAACGACTCAAATTTATTGGGACTATATGATTATTATTTTTTTCTTTTTTCTTTTTGTGTTATTTTTGGGTCTGTTTCCTTGGTTCTTTGAGGCAATTTCTGTGTGGGCAAACAGGGCATCCCAGAGTATTATCGGTGTTCTTGAACAGAGGAAGAAAATTACACACAACGAGATCATGGGATTTCATGGGATTAGAACATAATGGAGTGATCTCTTCCGGCTCAATCTGGAACAAAGCCAGATTTGGTGAAGACGTAATCATAGCCAACCTCGATACTGGTCAGTTCCCTCAATTACTTATTAACATCACAATCATTTAATAATCTGTCATCATAATTTCAATCTGTTTTTTCTTTAAATGTTACTTTAAAGAAAAAAATAATCATCATTCCCAATAATTTTATTAAGTTTTGCTTTTAATTCTTGTATGTTTTTTCAGTGTTTGCAATCCTTATAATTTCAATATTTTCAATTCTTATAAAAATTTAAAATACTAAAAAAATTATAGAGAATAAAAATAAAACCCAATAAAATTATATGAATCTATGATTGTGGTTTCCCTACTTTAAATTATTCTTAGCATATCCATATTATTTAAAATAATTTAACATATCCAATTAATTTGTTATTTTATAATTGAGAAATGCTTGGTTTAAATGGTTGAGAGAATTTAATCAATTTATCTTGGATTTTTGAATTTAAGTCCTGCAATATGTAATTGCAAAGTTTTCTAGTATAACCAGTGATAGAATTAAAAAATTATTATTTTACAAAAAAATAATTCATTTACTTCTTATTTTTGTACTTGCTCGCCATTAATTCAAAATGCATTATATTCTAATAAAAATTTGAGTCAATGCATGTTTAAATCAAAATTAAATGTGGGGTGTAATTTTTTTTTGGGGCATAATTGGGGTTAAGAACATGATGGAAAAGTATTCGGGAAAAGGAATTCGAATGCTTTCTGTGTTTTTTTTTAGGTTTAGTTTTTTTTTTAAATTAGATTTTTGAATGGATCAATATCTCAATTTTTCCTTATTTTTTTGGGTTGTTAGGAGAGATTACCATCAACAAAAGGTCAGCGTTTGATGAGTCAAATAGTCTATAGAATGAGGCTATCATCTCGAACGTGCGGTTGATTATTTTTAACGTTGCGTGGTAGTTTTTTGAAACCATATCGTTGACTTAGATCAGTTCACACATGAATCGAATCATTAAAAAATTAAGGTTTTCTCTTTTTTTTTTTTTAATTCTTTATCAGTCCCACCGATTCTTGATTGTACAACTTTTTGACCTGTTCAAAAAGGTTAATCTCTTGAAGTTATTAGTTTATCAGGAGAATAACAATTATGTCATAAATTTAAATTAATAACAATTATGTTATCAATTAAATTATAAATTCAAAAATTTTAATTACAAAAAATTTTTAAGTATAATTCCCAAATTATAATCAGGAATCGTGTTTATAATTGTATGAGTTAAAATTGAAACTCATTTTTAATAAAATTTTATCAAAAACATAATTATAATTAATTCAATTTTAATACCTAATTATCATTCTCTCTGTTATATTCTTTTATATCAATTCCCACCCAGGGTTGTTAAGAATAAGACTAATCCTTCGGCAAGATCTGTTGTCATCTGTCAATATTCGTACATCATATTACTAAAAAAATGTATTATTTCTTTATTTACAAAAGACCCCTTATAGAAAGGCCCAATAGTCTGTCCTTTTCATTGTCTATTCAGAATAAACTATAATGCTTTTTTAATTTGATAGAACAATTAAGGTATAGAAAATTATTTGTACATTTTTAAACAGGAAAGTTTACACTCCTATGCCCAAAGTTGAGAATATTCAGCTGTGGGAAACACCTAGGTATTTGAAAGATTGGATTAATAGATAATATTGAATATGAAAATATTCTATTGAGTAAAACTTAGTTCAACTTATTTTCAATTTATTTTAAGATCTTGAGATAATGTAGTTATTAGTTACATTGAATAAACATGTGAAAGATATTCATGAGGTATTATTGAGCTTGTCGTTGATAATAACATTCTCACAGTATAATTTAGATTAGTTTAGACTCAAAGTGAATATCCCATATTTCTTAAAATAGCGAGGCCATAGAATAAAAAATATTAAAATATTTTGAATGGCGTCAAATATATACAAGTAGTTCGTAAATATTTTATATATACTTTTCAAAAACAGCTCGAAATGATTTCAAAGATGGAAGCTTCTACAAAATTATTGGCTAATCCAAAGTAATCAATGCCATGGCCAAAAGAATAAGCATTGTATAAAAGTTACTGCTAGGCCTAGCTATAGTAACTATTATACTCTTTTAATGTATAAAAATATATTAATATAAAATACAAAATATCAGCCCACCAAAATTGATTTTTTGTGGTTGCACAAGTTTGAATAGGATAAGGCTGAATAATGGCTTGTGATATATATGATGGCGCACTTTAATTTGGACTTTTCTTTTTATCTATAGTGAAAATAACTATGCATGCTAAATTTTAAAATTTCATTGCAAATATATTATATCAAAACACTATGTTGCACATATACAGACGCTCGCATATTCTGGTAGTTTGTTTTGTAAATTCAACTTCTCTCCTATTTTCTTTCATCCTCTTCTGTTGCATTTTTTTTAAGCCATTTAGATTAAATTTTAATAATCTAAATGTATTTATTTATTTCAAAACAAAAGATTAAATTTAATTTGTTGCAATTTGTCAAAAACGAAAGAAAGAGGAAGAGAGAAAGCAAATTATACTCTATTTAAAGAGAGATAGATATTAAGAAAAATTACATGAGTAAAATAATGAGATGTTAATTTCATACACATTAATATTTTTCTATATCACTTCATTTCTAATGAATAACCATATTTTTTTTCTCAAAATGAATAAATATGAACATAAGGAATTGTATTGAATTTAGATTTAGAAGAAAAATTATTATTCTGTGTTTTGTGAATGATGAAGTAAAAAAGGTGGGGTTCCTATTGCTGGCACCATGAGAATGGTCCAATGGAATAAGAATGAAAGTGAAAGGTATAGTGTGAGAGTGAGATTAGAAGATTCTCATCATTATGGAATATTATATTGATTCCAATTTTCATACATATTTACATTCTCTTTATTATTTTTATTTTTTCTTTTTTTTTTCATCCTATATAATCCCTTCTTCATAGGAAAGGGGTCCCATATACATATATATTTCACACAGGCAGAACAAAACCCTTTGCATCAAGGGAGAAGTCATGCCATTTGAGCTATAACTTATTAGTTTTTATCATTCTTTCTCAATAATACCCATGTGGATGAATGTGGGGAATTTGGTATAAAAGAGAAGTAATTATGTGTTTTTGTAGTGATTGATAACAACAAAATGAGAATGACATTTTGGTCTCTTAGGACAGAATTAGCATGCCATAGTTGTCATTTTCAAAATGGTTATTATTTCAAAGGATCACAGTGTCAATAATTATCTTATAAGGGACCCAAATGTCATTTCACCCATTTCCCTGAAGGTTTTTTTTTTTTTTTTTGAAAAAGATGTGGTTGATAGCGGTGGGCCTAAAATTAAGAGATAGGTCCAATGGAATCCAATGAGAGAAGAAATGAATGGATGTGAAACAGAAGATAAGGAGGAGGACCATGGATGTAGCATGCATGAATGGATCAGAAGAATATACAAATAGATTAGATATGCGTACATATTGTGTGTTGATTCTGTGGTGGCTATGCCATGTGTTACCCAACTAACTTTGTGTGTGTGTGGGGGCCTATGATTAAGGGACTGTTTGGATACCCGTTAGGAATCAATTCTGAGATTAAAATTATAGTTTTGCAAACATTTATTTAAATATTTAAACACTCTCATTTTATAAAATTTCATCTAGCTTGAGAAACTTTATTTCAAAAAATTTGAAATTTTTTTCATTTGCAAAACTCCATTTGATTTATTTTTTTTTTGTATCATTTATTTACACACTCAAAATTCGTTCTTAAAAAATTATTTAAATATATTCAATTCCAAACACACCTAACATGTATGGGTGTGCATGTACAGGAGTGTGGCCTGAATCAGAGAGTTTCAATGATGAAGGATATGGACCAATTCCTTCCAAGTGGAGAGGTATCTGCCAAAATCACTCTGATCCCACATTTCACTGCAACAGGTTCCCCATCCTTCCCTTCATCTTTACTTCACACAATATTCCAACTTCATCCTCACTTTCTTGGTTTCGCATCATTTATCATCAATTAGTTAGAATGGGCCGCTTAGTTTGTTAAAATTGGAGTCAACCCAAAAAGTTATTGGATATCTAGCTGATTTTTCAGGTCAAAAAATGCTGGTATGCTGACCAACTGATCTCACATGGACATTAAGGCTTTGTTTGGAATTGGAAAAAAAATAAAAATGAGAGAAAATTTAGAAAAAAAAGTAGACGAAAAAAACATTTTTACCTTTATTTTTCATTAATTTTACTTCAAATAAAGGAAAAACTAAAGGCAAAATCTTATGTTAAGGGGGGAAAAAGTCTTTTTCTTGTATTTTTCTCTAATCTCTATTTTCTTTTTATTTAAGACGGATGATAATAGAAATTTAACAATTATTTTGAATGAGTTTTATTGGTTGAATTAAGCAAGACAATTTTTTGTTAATAATAATTGCCTCTCTATCAATTTTTTTAATAAAAAGTAAACCATTTATATCCACTGCACGATTCTTTTTTTTTTAAAAAAAAATACAGTGGACCTTGATTTCAACCCACCATGAATTTGGATTAAGGCTATGTTCGGATTTGGGTCGATATATCCATTTAAAACGAGAGCAATTTTTTATTGGGACTTTATTCAACCCACCATGAATCATTTATATCTCTTGAATAAGAGCGATATAAATTGTGTTAAAAATAATTGTTTATCTGTAATTAAAAAAGACATCTATCAATGCCATAATTTGTTTAATATAAATAATGTCACTTAAAATTGAAACAACAGGTTCTAGACGAAGAACTTGATGATAAAGATAGCGTTTATCTGAAAATTTAAACAAAAATAATTTTTAGATTTGTTGGCCCTGATTTATTTATTTTTTGCCAACAATGGAATAAGTGAATAATATAATATATATTATATCAATTACGGTGAATAATAAATGAATAAAACTGGGAATGAAATGGTGGCAGGAAGCTCATAGGGGCAAGGTACTTCAATCAAGGGTATGCGTCAGTGGCGGGAAAACTAAACGAATCGTTTGACACGCCCCGTGACAGCGAGGGTCACGGCTCTCACACCTTATCTACCGCCGCCGGAAACTTCGTTTCCAACGTCAGCATCTACGGCCAAGGCTTTGGTTCCGCCAAGGGTGGCTGCCCGAGAGCCCGCGTTGCTGCTTACAAGGTTCAGATCATTTACCAATTAGTCATATTTAATTTGATTTGGTTTGTTATGTGCTGCCTCTTCGATTTGCTTGAGCTTAATTGACATTCCGACTGTTCAATCGGAAAAAGGTGTGCTGGCCGCCGGTGAGAGGCAGCGAGTGTTTCGATGCAGATATATTGGGAGCCTTCGACGCGGCAATTGAGGATGGCGTCGACGTCATATCGGTGTCGTTGGGAGGAACGTCCTCCGAACTGTTCAATGATAGCGTTGCCATAGGGTCGTTCCATGCGGCCAAGCGAGGCATTGCGGTGGTGTGTTCCGCCGGTAACAGTGGGCCAGACGATGCTACCGTTGAGAATCTCGCACCGTGGTTCCTCACCGTCGCTGCCAGCACCATGGATAGACAGTTCCCAGCTTATGTTATTCTTGGCAACAACCTCACGCTCAAGGTTCATTCCCCTCTTGCCTATCATTCTCTCATTTTTAGCCTTAAATCATGATATTTTAACATCATTAACCTATGCAAATGACGAGTTTAACATCATTAACCTAATTTTAACGTTTAAGATCTTTCAAGTATAATTCTTGTAATAGTTTACTGATCATAGTAGAGGGGAACTCCGTGTTTATGTTGTTGGGTTTTCCTCTCACGAGATAGACCCGGGGCTGACGTAGTCTTTGTGCTGAAAAGTTAGGCAAAATCTATTGAAAATTTCAAAATGTTGTCTTTCTTTTTGTTGAAGAAAGTTGGGCACCTAATACCAAACTTTTGTATTGAAGGGAGAAAGCTTGTCAGCTGCAAGTTTGCCGCGCAACTTTTACCCAGTTATCACTAGTCTCGATGCTAAAAAGCCTACAGCAAATGCTGAGGACGCGTAAGTACAAATATGATTATTGAATTCCATTCTAGTATTGCTCCATCGCTGTTGTATGATTTGGAATAAATTCACATTTTCATCTTTGAAAGATACATCATGTCTTCGTTTCATTTCTTAAAATTTGACCATCTCATTTTGGTTCAATCTTTTGTCTTTAATAATTAAGTGATTGGTGGCCTAACTTACTGCAGTCATTCAATGTCCAATTGTCAGTGAAAACTTGCTATGATAGATCACTGTATCACGTGAAGTAGTCAAATCACCCAGTTGTTTTTGTGCTTTTCTGTTGCAAGTTTTTGGCTGCAGGACAATTAATAGCAATATGAAATATCCGGCTGCTAATAAAACATCACATGATTGAGCATTATACCACTTGATGTAGCCAAGATGCTATGGCACATAAATACTACTTCCTACATCCCAATTTATAAGATAATTTTAGACAAAATTACATATACTAATAAAATTTATTAAATATACTTTATAATTTTATTTTTTCAAGACAAAAATATACATTTTTAAAATACTCTTCATTTAATATTTGTAAAACATTAGAGAAAGAGAATATAGTAAGAAGGGGATGGTAATATTGGAAAAATATATTTGATGAAATCTTAGTTTTTTCAAATTTGTTTTGGGACAAATCACCTGTAAAATTGACTTTTAAACTGGAAGGGAGGGAGTATTTAATCATTTTGTCCCGGAAAGTTTTCTTGATTACTGGGCATTTAATAGCACCAACAATTTCATGCTAAACCATGAATCTATTCCTATGTGTTGCGTGTTAACATCAAGATCCTTTGAAGTTAACTTTAGAGGAAGTTTGAAAGGGGAAAAATACAGAGATGATATCTATTGGGTAAAAGGAAATCTCTTCTCTTTCTCTTTCACTCTTTAAACTTCCTGTAAAGTTATTTAGAAGAATTTATTTATTTATTTATTTTTGGTCGAAAGAATTTATTTTGTATATGTTAGTAGTTTTAATATAATTGCTGACACTAGTTTCTGTTTAAAAGATCTAAAAGGCATTGTTACTTCACATAATTAAATTGAAACAGATGAGGCGTTTAAATGATGAAAATAATAATTCATATTGAGACATGTGCAGGAGGTTGTGCCAGAATGGAACACTAGATCCGACAAAGGTGAAGGGGAAGATAGTGGTATGTCTGAGAGGAGAAAATGCAAGAGTGGACAAAGGAGAACAAGCTTTACTTGCAGGTGCTGTTGGAATGGTTCTTGCAAACGATAAGATTAATGGCAATGAAATAATTGCTGATCCCCATGTCCTCCCTGCTTCTCACATCAATTACACTGATGGCATTTCAATCTTCACTTACGTCAACTCAACAAAGTAAGATATCTATTATTCATACATGTTCTTTTTGAAGAAAAATTGTGCATGGCTTCGTAAGTGACGGGTCTTACTTCGAAGTATTGAGAGAATACACGATAGTTTGGATATCTAAATTTAACAGAAGTATTGTCAAAAGGTTAACAATAAAAGTTAACTAAATAACATTACAGAGCTTAAGAGAACAATTTAACTTGTACAAGTTTAATATCAGCTTAAACTTCACTTTTGCATAATTATTGCTAGGTCCCCTGTGGCTTATATTATGCACCCAACAACAAAGTTGCATGCGAAGCCAGCCCCATTCATGGCAGCATTTTCATCAAAAGGACCCAATCCTGTTATACCAGAAATCCTAAAGGTATACAAAGAAGGAAACCGGGGGAAAGAAGCAAACCTTTTTCCTTCATATTAAGATCATTATTAGTAATGAATGAATTGTGTATTGAAAAGAGAGAATGACAAAAAAAAAAAAAAGGTAAAAGTATATATAGGACTTATTTCATCTCTTTCAAGATTATTTCTATTTTTTTATCTCTTCCTTATACACAATATATTTACTTGTTAAATACAAATAATCTGGGTCCTTTCCTTCAACTCTTTGTACTAGAAGTTAAACTCACTGTTGTATCAATTTTGCAGCCTGATATAACTGCACCTGGAGTTTCAGTTATAGCCGCCTACACAGAAGCTCAAGGGCCAACTAACCAGCCGTTTGACAGCAGAAGAATTCCATTTAATTCAGTCTCAGGCACTTCAATGTCATGTCCTCATGTTTCAGGCATTGTTGGCCTTTTGAGAACACTTTATCCTTCATGGACTCCTGCTGCTATTAAATCTGCAATCATGACTACTGGTGAGAAGTTCTTCAACTTCTTTATACTTCAATCCCTAATACTCATGCCAATTTCTGTCATAATAGTAGAAAAATTAAAGTGAATGCATTCCTTGATATTTTCAAAATGCATACACAGACCTATTTAGTTTAAACCCGGAAGCTCTTGAAAGTTTAGAAGAGTATATTAAGATTTTTGTACTCCAAAGTTTAACCATTGCATTTTTTTCCCCAAAGAGTATTTTGTTGTATCATGTCAAGCCTGATAAGAAAAATAATTAACAGAAATGGGTGATATAGTTTAATTTGAAAATGATGGGTCTTTTGTGTTCATTTATGATGGAAACATGTCATGATAAAGTATTATACCCCTTGATGCAACACCAAACTATTTTATTGCTCCAATATGATGTTTTCACAAACAATTGAACACATTTACATCAGTTTCATATTAAGTTGTATCATTTATATCTGGCAACAAACTCAATATGATGACACATAGACGACAAAACACGCTAAACAGTTCAAGCTTGACTTGTACTTGCTCCTGGTGTCATATCCAATTCAAGCACCCATGTAATTTTGACTTGCTATTTTCAGCTTCAACACACGATAACGAGGTGGAGCCGCTGCTTAATGCTTCTAACTGCCAGGCAACTCCATTCAGTTATGGAGCAGGTCACGTTGACCCCAATAAAGCAATGGATCCTGGTCTTGTTTATGATGCAACAATCAATGATTACTTGAACTTCCTATGTGCGTTGGGTTACAATGCCTCACAGCTTTTAACTTTCACTGAAGGCCATTATTATAAATGCGACAAGAAAAGATCAAGTATCCTCAACCTCAACCATCCTTCCATTACAGTCCCTAATCTCAATGGGTCTGTCACAGTCACAAGAACCCTAAAAAATGTCGGTTCTCCAGCAACTTATATGGCTTACCTTCAAAACCCGCGTGGGATTTCCATTTATGTGAAGCCTAATGTCTTGAAATTCAAAAGGGTTGGTGAAGAAAAGAGCTTTAAATTGATCATGAAGGTTGAGGAACACTCAACAGCAAAGAACTATGTGTTTGGGAAGCTGATATGGTCTGATGGGAAGCATCTTGTGAAGACTCCAATTGTGGCGAAGGCCATCTAACTCTAGAAATAGAAATGGTTGACTAGAGATTAGAGATTGGAATTTACTTAAATTAACTCTATCAATCTAAAATTGTGATATAGACGAAGTAAATGAAATTTACTTAAATAATGGGCCTCACAACATGTGTAGATCTTACACGTTGTGCACATTTTCCCCCAAGTTTGACTTTATCAATTTTGTAAGAAATCGAGATCGGAGGGTCTAATTGTATTGGCTAGATTATGATAATTTGCTTCATTAATTTCAATGCCATCTTTTTTCGGGTGAGTGTTGGATAATCTCTGTAGTATCTTGTTATCGTCCTATTACTTCCCCACCCCCTACTTTGTACTTCAGGGGTTTTCTGCCCTCGCTTCTGATTCATACTAGGATTGGATGAGAGGAAAAATAAAATCTTATATTTTGTTTTTGTTATATAGATAATATATATAAAAAAAAGTAATAAGTCTCTTTGAGATTTCCTCTCTTCTCGAAGGATTTTCTCTCGTCTTTAGGAGTGTTGTGCCACCATCGGTGTGGGCAGAGTGAAAAGGTAAACTACCCACTGTGGTTTTCATTTTTGAGTAAAGAGAGTGAGTGTCATGGATCACCCATTGTGATTCCAATGAAAATTTCTAATATCTCTTCTCTAGAGACATTGGAAGTGTGTGTGTAGGAGCTTGGATTTCTCTGTTCTTGAGGTGTGTGACAGGCGGGAGGTCAGATTTTGAGATGGAAAACTGTGGGAGTGGCAGTAGCAGTAGGAAGAAGACGAAAAGAAGAGTTGAAACACCGTGGCAATTAGATTCACCGAAAGGCTACAAAAAGCATATGCTAGTAGGGAAAGTCATCTCATCGAAACCGGTGAATAAAAACTCTGTTCTAGCTACAATCCGAATAGGTTGGAATATTGGTGAGGAAACGGATGTTATTGAAATGTTGGAGGATGTTGTAGTATTTAATTTCAAGTTTGAAGAATAGAATGTCCAAATGCTAAGGGGAAGACCATGGTTGACTCAGGGTCATCTAATGAGCCTTCAACTGTAGAATGAATTCAAGGTACCAAGTGAGATTAACTTTGATTGGACTCCTTACTGGATATAACTCCATAATGTTCCGTTGAAGATCATGAATGAGGAGAATATATGTAGGATGGGCAAAGTAGTAGGCAAAGTAATTTGGTATGAAAAGCCTTACGTGGAAGGAAAGCTTAATTGGGGGTTTACCTGTCTTCAGGTATTAGATGACATCCAGCAACCCTTGATCACTAGATTCTGGGTCACATGTCTAGACAAGTCAAAGGTTTGGATTATGGTAAAATATGAGAGAATGCATTTTTTTTGTTACAAATGCAGTTTGATTGGGCATAATGGCAGGAGTTGTAATCAACTTGAAAATGAAAATCCTCTGAGGAAACTGCTTTTGGCCTTTAGATATGCACCGAAACAATAAGGGATAATGAGGAAGCTCTAGTGAAGCATGCTAGAGACTGGACGGAGGAAGATGGTAATCGAAATAAAGCAGCGTGTGGAAATCAATCAAAATTAGCACGTTAGGGGAACTTCCTGAAAGTCAGATATCCTGCTTTATGTGTGGCTAATGGAGAAGTAGGAGGCGGCTATCCCAGTACTACACAGAGGAGAGAGCAACCTGAGGTAGGGTAATGTTAGATGAAGTGGAGGATAGTAGATGACAAAGAGGGAAGAAGAAGGTTTCAGAGAACACTGAATTTTTGGGCCAAAAAATTAAGGAGAAATTAAAGGCCCACATAGAAAACACTCGTTATGCATCAAAGCCCACTACTCCTATAGTTGTTAATGAACCTGATTCCATACACTCAATTTTTTGTGGGAAACATAATTCTGAACAACTAGAACAGGCTTGCATGGATATTATTCCTTACTTGGGATTTTCCCCTATCTTAAAAGTTTTGAAGAAATTGGGTAGTGTCAGGTTGAAATGAGGGGTCAAAGATACTCAGTCTCGAGTTAATAGCAAGTGTCGGTAGCTCTTTTGCCAAGAGAAGGTTTCTAACAATTAGGTGATACCCACCCCTCCTAAGAGGAATACAAGGAGAAAGAGTTTCTGACAAATAATATAGGAAATTTAAATTTTTAAGAAACCTTGGATTTGTGAGATTGCTACGGATTAGGTTGAATTTGAAGTATAATTCTAGTTAGTTCATTTTTAGGTTTGATGATGGGAAGAAGGGAAATATTGAGTCGGCTGAAGGTTCTGATGGCTGTCTTCAATCAGCCATCAAATCGCCATGAATTTTTTTTCTTGGAATAGTTAGGGTTTAGGGTCATCCTTGGCAGTCAGGAATCTCAGCGAGGAAGTAAGAAAATTCAAACCCTAAATTGTCTTCTTCATAGAGATAAAACAAGAAGCTAAATTCTTGAACAGGATCGCTATAAGTTGTGGGAATATTAAGACTAATGGCTAGTGCAATGTCTCAAACTTGGGTATCCCTGGGGGACCTCAACAATATAATGTCTTAAAGTGCGAAGCTTAATAGAAGTCATAAGAAGATTCATAGAATTATTAATTTCCAATGTCTAAGGGAGCTGGTTTTACTTAGTGTAACCAGAGGATAAGGGGTAATCACGTCAAGGAAAAACTTGATAGAGCCCTGTGTAATATGGAGTTTAAAGACATTTTTCTAAAGATATTGGTTTTTCATATAGAGACAGGGGCTTCAGATTGTTTGCTATTAAGACTGTGTATGTGTTTTCAGGATGTCAGTACTCCTCAGTCTTTTTGGTTTGAGAACAGGTGGGCTTTACATCCTTAATTTAGAAAAGTTATCCAGGAGTATTGGAAGAATGCGAATATCTTTAATTGGAATCATCTATATTTTTTCCTATGTTATTTGGAAGATTGTCAAAGTATGCTGATTACTTGGAGTAAGAAGTATTTCCTAAATAGCAAAAACCTTATTAATGCTCTAATGAGGAAAATTGAAGAACTAAAGCTAGATATCTATACTGATGCTAGCAAGAGGGAAATTGAATTTCTGACTCAAGAACTAGAAGAAGCTTAGAAGAAGGAGGAAGCTTCTTAGGCATAAAGAACAGGTTAATTGGTTGCAAGCTGGAGACTAACACAAAATTCTTCCACCATTTAATTGAGATCAGAAGGCAACAGAAAAGATTGTTAAACTCTAAAAGGATGATGGAGAATGGGCAGAGAATGGTGATGAGGTGATTGGGTTGGTAGAAGAGTATTATACTTCTTTATTTGCAAGTGATGACCCAGGGGATTTGAATCTAGTTCTCAGTTATATGGACAATTGTATCTCTGAGACTCAAAATTTACAACTCACCTGACTTGTGACTAAGATGGAAATCAAAGAGGCTGCCTTTGATCTTGATGGATCGAAAGCTCTTAGCTTGAATGGATTTAATGGTTTCTTTTATCAAAACTCCTTGCCTGAGGTAAAAAAATCCCCTGTGTGACATGGTATTAAGCGTTTTCAATTGTGACATTGATAAAGGTTTATTGAATACCATGAAATTAATTTTGATTCCTAAAGTAGATAATCCTGAAGCAATTTCCCAATTTCGTCCCATTAGTCTCAACAATTTTGCATATAAGATAGTTGCAAAAAATTTAGCAAACCATTCGCATGAGCTTCTTGATGATGGTATTTCTGATAGTTTACGTGCTTTTATCCCTAATAGGCTTATCCAAGATAATAATATTATTTCTCATGAAGTGTTTCATTATTTAAAAAAAATAAGAAATCGAGCATTAGATTTGAGTTTGTTATTAAAATGGATATGAACAAAGCCTACGATAGACTTGAGTGGAAGTTCCTAAAACACGTGATGCTAAAATTATGTTTATGCTCTAAATGGATTGACTGGATCATGCTATGTGTGCGTAGTGTATAGTTTAAGGGTGCAAATCTCAAGTAGAACTTTTACTAATATTACTCCTTAAAGGGGGTATAAGACAAGGATGTCCTCCATCACCTTATTTCTTTATCATTGCTTTTGAAGTTTTCTCCACAATGCTCAAGAAGCATACTAATGCTAATGAGCTCATTAATGTTCAAATGGCTAGATCTAGCCCAATGCTAGCCCATTGCTTATTTGCCAATGATACCTTAATTTTTCTAAATGCTGAGGGCCAAAATTGTAAATTGTTCAAGGATGTCTTGAAGGAGTATTGCAAAGCCTTAGGGAAAAAGCTCAATTATGAAAAATCAAGCTTGTTTTTCTTGGGTAATATACTTAATATCGTCAGGGAAGTAGTTGCAGAGGCACTGGAAATTGATGCAGTAGATGACATTAGTTGTTACCTGGGAGGCTAGGACTCCCCATCCTTTGGGGAAGATCAAAAAATAGGGCACTGGCTTATGTTTGAGATATGGTGGGTAATAAAGCTTAAAGTTGGAAAAGATTACTTTCCTTTTCAAGTAGGGAGGTGATGATTAAAGTTTTTGTAAATGCGATCCATATTTTCCCAATGTCGTGCTTTAAATTTCCTAAACATACTTGTGTGGAGCCTAATAGATTGGTTTTCATTTTTTTCTAGAATAATGATGATGAGGGAGGTGGCATTTATTGATAGTCTAGGGGTTATTTGAATATCTTAAAACTTGAGGGAGGTTTGGGTTTTAAGGATTTTATGGGTTTTAATATCTCTCTATTTACTAAAATAGCCTAGCAAATTTTGTAACAACCTAATAGTATATGGGTTCAAGTTTTGAAGAGTGTTTATTTTCCCAATAGTTCCTTTTTTAATTCTACAAAAGGCCATAGTGCTTTATGGATTTGGGATAATATCCTAGCAAGAAGAGAATTAATGATAAAGGGTTTATGTTGGCAAGTGGGCAATGGCAATTATATACAGATTTGGTGTGATCCATAGATACCAAGGGCTCTAAATTTTAAATTGCCATGCAATTCAAACGTTGTTGCAAATGAGGCTTTAACAATCACCTCTTTTATAGCTAATGGGCAGTGAATTTATCTCCTATTCAAGACCAAACAAGTGAAGAAATGCTCAAACTCATCCAAAAATTTTCCTTGGCAGGTATTAGAAGACTAGATAAGTTGATATGGATGGGTTCTAACAATAAGGAGTATGTTGTTAAAACAGGCTATAGGTAATCCATAGAAAAACAATCCCATTTCCACATGGAAATCTCTAATGGTTGTAGCAACTCTGGGGATCTTTGGTATTCAATCTTCACCTTCTAACAAGTCATACATCGGGATACGTACTTTGTCACATCCCTCTTCATACTAGGCCACCACTATTGACTCTTCATGTCTTGATATGTCTTGGT